CTACAACACATTTTTAACTGCCCAACTTAATAATAATGCTTTTAGTTGTATCTGCTTCACATAGACTTGGCGACAGACTCCAGAAGTTTGTTTATTTTCAACCGTCATGGTATGTCCAGGTCTGCCTGGACATACAATCAAGAAAAGGCCGCCACTTTTTCAGGTGAGATAACACATGGGTTTGAACTAATTTGTTAGACATGAACTAGAGGTATTGTTTGATCACTTAAGGAAACACAAATATTGATGCAAAGAAGATTTGTAGGCGTTCGGAAAACTTGTCGCTCTCTCTCTGAAATATATTGACTTTTTACATAGTTTGTTTGAGGGCAGCAGTGAAATAATGGTTTTTACGGCTGACGGTCAAAGTTTTGGCCACTATACGGCTAATGGTTAATTTCACACCGTAGCGATTAAAAGAAAATTTTTTTACGATTAGCTTTTCTTAACGCCTCACGGCTAATTTTATTCGCCGTTTTATGGCCAACGGTCAACCCACTTGAGACTCTCTTGTTTGATATCTTACTAGTGAGACGGCTATGTCAAAAATGACATTAACAAGTGAACGGGCTCAATTCGCCAAATTGACAGGTACAGTAATCGTTATCTTATGAACATTCTCAAAAGAGCTGTACCTTGTGACCATTTCACTCCCATCAGCAGTTAGGCGAATTATCATCACTATTTCACGGGACAAGTTTGGCTTGGGGGGTTATCTTCATATGACATTAAATCCCCAGATTAAATTTATAAGGAAATCTGTAGCAGCTGAAGGGGAAAATTGTTAAGGAGTTTGGGAGTTCAACCTTCTCTAACCTGACACAACTTGTTAATTAACCTTAATTGTTTCTTTCTCTTTCAGGTTTTCCTGGTGAGACTAAACTTAATTAAATTTGAATTATTCTCAAGGGTGGGGTTGGAACACCAATTAGTAATACTCCATAGTAAGTGTACATCAGATAAATGTTAGAAAATTAATCATAATAAATAATATTAGAATGCATTGTAAACACATGCATTTAGTTACTGTTTCAAATCAAAGTTGCCTGAAATGGACCTGAATATCAAACTGGAAAACTGATTCTTCTTGAGTATTTCTATTTATACATTTTAGATCAATACATTCTAAGAGAAATTCTACTCTCAGCTTTATTGTAAGGTATTGCTGGATTCATGTCTTTTATGAATACTAAGCAGATTCTATTACAGCCCTCTGTTTCTATTTGGACTCAATTCTGTTTGGTGTCTATTTCTCTATGATTGGCATAAATCTGTTTTACACATTTGCAGATCCATTTTAATTGATTAGTCACCTTGCATAATGAATCAATATTCTCTGGTTTTCTAGTGAAATTTCCCATCAGAATTGGCCTTCATTTCCGATCAAATTTTTCTGTATATGGCTAAATGCAATGCTAGGACAATAATTTTTCATACCAATATTGCTTGTGTGGCGGTTTCTTCATAGTGAGGTGTGTGTTTATTCATGCTGCATATACTGAAAATGGAGCCGCCAAGACAATAAAAAAGAAATTCTATCAGCATTCATAAAGGGCCAACCTCACATCCAAGATCTCTTGCCTTCTGGAGCAAGCGAGGGGGAGTGGGTGGGAAGGCGAGAGACCCTGGGAAAGAGGTTGTTGAAGAGCTGTAGCCCAGGCTCAATACATCAAGTACATCAAGTAGAGGCTCACCTGTAAACTTTCCCTATGTAAAATATAATTTCTAAATCAGCTAACAGCCCCATAGCAACTCATGTGACACTTAATTGCCCTAACACAAATCATTAAATTGCTTCACCAAACTATTGAGCATATTGCTTGAAATCATCAAGTTCTTTTAACAGGTATTATAGTAATTTACTAAAAACATCTCTTTTAACCTTAAAAGGTTACTACACACCACTGCTGGATTATTTTTGCCAGTATCTTCTTTAATTTGATAAAATTAAAGTTAATACCTAAAATTTCCTTTTCCTGTAATATAAAGTCAAAATCTTTTTATTCAGAAAAAGTTATTTTCATTAAAAAGTGGAAAATTCATAAGGATGGCATAATCATCATATGGACTCTACTGGCCACAAAGGCCTGTGTATAATGACTCAAGCATGGCGAATCTATTGCATGGGTCTCAACATATGAGAATTTATTATGTTTTATGCTTGTAGAATGAACAAATTTACCCTCCTAAAATAGAGCTTTGATCCTGAAATATTTTAAGGTCATTAGACCTGACACAATTGTGATAGATTTTTTTTCTTTTTTGGCCACTAGTTGTGTCCTCTATGTTGTAAAACAATTGGTTCATGGTCAAAGCTGGGCTTGTCTTGAGGAACGAGTTAAAAGGAGATTAATCAAGTAGCTAAAGTTACCTCAAGCATCTCTCTCCTTCTTTCCAAACTTCCCTCATACACTCATTACTGAATCTATGCAGGCACTTGATTTGATTATTATTGATATTTCTTGAAAAGAGCAAAACATTTTCACTCATGACTGAAGGAATAATTGACAAATCACTCAAAACTGAATCCTATGATTGAGACTGAAAAATCTTTAGCTGGCAACAAAAATTGAACCTAGTAAATGTCATTCTGGAATGTCAACACTGATGTTGCATGAAGACTTATGTAATGAGTAGTGATGTAAACTGTCACACTTAACCCTTTAACTCCCAAGATCTGATTGTCCATTCTCCCCTCCAGCTGCTACACATTTCCTTGTAAGTAAGTTATGAAAACTTGGTGTTAGATCAAGGTAACAACTTCTACCTGATAAGTTTGAATATTCTCATGACCTGTTTGCTGGGTAATGTTTAGATATTACAGGGAGAAGTTACATGTCAATCACTTTTGGGAGTTAAAGGGTTAACAGACGCTTGTATACAGAGAAAACCAGCCGTCCTTCAGCAGCTATTTCACCGAATAAGATAATCCCAATTTGTCACTTGCCTGTTCTCTCATCTGTACCCAGTCTGACACTCACACTAGAAGGTTTACTAACACACAAACAACTAAAACATTGTGTGTATCACTTTCAAGTTCATTGAAAATGGGGAGAGATTTCTGCATACCATTCTAAAACAAAGCCGTAATCTCATAACAAAAGCAATGTACTGTTCTCCTAATCCAAGCACTGTATACATAATAAACTGCATGAGAACTGTATGCTTAATAAAGTATGGGGCTGTTAGGAATTTTGCCGAAAAACGGCTATAAAGACCACACGATAATTGAACAAAATGTAAACGGTGCGAAAGTTCAAAAATGTATTTTAATTATTTCGGATATTGAAAAACAAAAAGCAATACTCGACGATTAGAAAGCCTGTGTTGTAAACTCAGCTCCAGTAAACATGTTTCTCTAGGTAAGACTGCTACATATGTGAATTTCCCGCCCAGTTGAAAAATCTGTGCATATAACATATCAGCTTCACAATTTAAATAAAGGAAGCAGAAATAAATCGAAACCAAAAAGAGTATCATGCATTATCTGGGTAAGTAATCTTACCACCAACTGGCAAATGATATGGAGCCACACGTGGTTTCGCCGTCAGAGTTTTTCAGCCACTTTGATGTAATTTTTTCCATCCAAACATCATCAAACTAAAAGCCAACATGTGCTGAAAGACAAGTGATGTCAAAGGTGCCGTTGGGCAGCTTATTCCATCATTAACTAGCACGGTCCATTTGTTTACGCCGCCATATTGGATCTGCTTTCTTCAGTTAGTTCCCAGTGTTTTACGTCTGACAGGGCAAAACGCGCGCTTAAGGTCACGTTCCACGTGAAGTAGCACGCGTTTAGTTCAAGTTCACTTAAGCAGTACCGATATTGAATACTGAGATTTAAGATATTTAGATCGTGTATTGATCAAGAGAGGATATTCCAGCCTCTCTAAATCGCGCCATTCCTGAATTTTTGTCAGGGATGCTCAAAAGAACGACTGTCTATGCAGAAATCTAAGAGCAGCACCAAAGGTCTCCCGATTGCTTTAAGATAAAAAAACCACATTGTATTTCAAGGACCAAAAACAATTACTACTTACGGTTGTTTACCTGTTTCGGTTCATCGCCTACCAGTCTGTGTTTTAGAGACAATGCCCTTCTGAAGAGAAACTTAAGTCTGTTATCTCGAGGTAATTTATTGTTAACACCTGAGTTGACGTAAATTGGCCACTGTAAAGGGTAAAAAA